GGGGGATATCCCTGAGGTATAGCTACTGAACTGGGTAGGGAGAAGCTGCCATGTTGTAGGGATTTATTTTCACTAGTTATTTTTCTTAGATAGAAAAGCTCAGTTATTTCTGTGTTGACAAAAGACTAAAAGTGCTGTTAGAATCTCTCTAAATTGGGGTAGCCCAGGACAAACTTTTATTTATCTTTCTTCTGGCTATAGCTCTTCCAAAATGATCAGAAACATGTGAACATTCTTTATGTAGAAAGTAAGAATACGCGCGCACACACACACACACACACACACACACACACACACACACACACACACACACATATACACATATATATTTTTTTAAATCAAGGGAAAAAATGAAGTTAATGTTAATATTGTTCCAGGACCAAGTCACTTCTTTCCACTTCTGAGCACTAAAGAGCCCAACAAATTTTTGTCTTCTAAAGAGATTTGTACATTCTGAAAGTATAATAATTCAATTTGAAGCCAGAAGACACTGCCTTCCTCCAGAAAGTGGATCGTCAAAACTAAAAGTGGCTTAATTTCAAAATCATCAGCCTCCCCTCATTTGTTTTTGCTTCCTTCAAATCTGCAGATTTCCAGGGCAGATCACCAGGTAAAGAATAATCTCTGGGCAAATAGTTTGACCCTTAGTGCCTTTTCTGCTAAGAATTGCTAGTCCTTTGATAGAAGACACAATGCCCTGGTCCATTCCTCTATAGCGGATGTACTTTCCCACACAGATTCTGCTAAATTTGGTTTCTGTATCATTCCCAGTGTTAAAATCGTAAAGAAAGGAAGTAGTAATGCGGGTTGGAAAGAGAGATGAGGTTTCTGGAACTGCTGAGTCCCTGGGCATGTCTTAAAAGCTCAATTGGAACACACTTTTCTGGGACTTCCCTACCCAAGAGCAGCCCCTCTCCTTCTGTCTACATGGCAAAACACACCCCGAACTTACCGTTGATCAATCATTACGGAGTTCTGTCTCTAGACTACACCTAGGATACAGAAAGCAACCAGGAGCCCCACAGAAAATAGGTAGACCCTTGAATGGAAGAACAAAAGTGCCTTGGGGGGGGCTAAAAGAGGCATCATTCATGCTTGACGGTTAGGACAGGGTAGGCCAGGAATGCTCGGAAGAAAATGTAAATTCCTAGCCTCTCACTTAACTTCAAAAGTTTTCCATTTCTTTTTGAAGAAGGAGCAACACGTTCCTCTGGTAGTGTTCATAACATTTTAGGAATCCTTTATTTTGAATGTTTTAACACTTTGGGTTCTTTCTCCTTTTCTTCCTCTCCTCTGCCTCAACCTTCCAATACACAGAATATGAGAAAAGATGATTTTTGCAGTCGACAAGGATATGCATTTTAAGTAGTTAGGAATGACCTTGGTTAACCTATTAAGGCCCTGAGACTGGGTCCGCATTACAAAGGTCAGCTCAGATTGCTGCAAATTATCAGGGCACATCTTTGATTTTCTACCTTTAAGTACACTTAATGTTACCCAAGTTGTTGCTCTTTGCACCTTTCCCAGAAGCTACAACTCTAAGGATTTTGTTTTCCATGAATAGACGCTGACTGAATATTTTATCTAGAAGTGTGGTATGCCCTAGCCGGCCACATGCTTTAAAATGTACATGTATGTATGTTTAAGTAGCCACATGATTGTGCTGAGAAGTCAATTTAAACAGAGAGGACTGGTCAGCCTGCTAGAAAAAGGAATTCAGAAAATTACTTTTCAGATGAAGATTTTAGATGCTAGCTCCTGGGTTTGTCACAGAATGATTTTTTAAAACGAGCTCAATAAACAATGAAAACTCTTACTGGAACCTTTATACATATTTATTAATTGATATAATAAAGTTTATTTTCATTTAAAAAAGAGTTATCTCACATTCTATTCTCATAAGCAGGAATCTGACTTTTCTTAGTGATGAACTCCTGTATCCCTTATAGCTCAGGATATGTCTGTATCTAGCCTTGAATCACCTGTTTCTCTAAGGTTGTAAGGGCTAGTTTTACCACGTAGAAACCCCCAACTAACCCCTTTTGGATACAATATAAATATTCTCTGTGTATTCTAGTTTACAGCTAGTTTCCTATCTGGAGTTTCTCTTCACAAACAAACTGATTTCTTAGCCTCTTTTGACTGAAATCATACTGACTTCTTGTGCTTCAACGGAAATGCTAGTTCACCACTGAGAGATAGAAGCCACATTCTGAGGTGGCCTGGGGAGTCTAAGTAGCCATATTCCCTCAGAACACTGTATGGTTGCAACAGATTAGAGGGGCAGGCAGTGATAAAGAGAAGGAAGGCAGAAAAAAAGAGGGAGCGGAAAGAAGGAGGAATAGAGAAATTCTGTGTGAGCAGAAGCGTTGGGCTGGAGTGTTACCCAGCTCTTCATGAATACCCAAGAAATTCTAGGTGAGGTAGGTAGCACATTTATACATGCTGGTCTGTCTGTTTGTCTCCTCTTTAAAAAAAAAAGAAAAAAAATATATATGTACACATACATACATACACATACACATGTAATTTCATTATACTTTTAAAATATTGACAAAAACCCAAGAAGAAGTATGTGTATGTGTGCATGTAAGTATATACATAGAGCTTTTGTTGAAAGGTTCCTTGAATAGTCAGAGAGGAATATTCCCTGGGACCCTGATTGTTTCTTCACCTCTGAAATGCCTTCCATTTCCATTCTGAGTACTGGAAACTCCAGGGGAGAAAGCACAACACAGCTGCTGAAAATTGGTGGTTGCAGTTGTATGCTTCTCACTATTCCCTACTTTGGGTGTCATTATGACAGTGTTTCTCTATACCACATTTGGCTGGTGGGGTACCAGTGACTTGGGTTGGGGGAAAAGGGGGGAGTGATGAAAGACCACAATTTATGTCTGGGCTGTTGCTAAAATAAATTATACCTATTCTCCCAGCCACCTTCCCCCAACCACCCACTGCCATCTTGCCCTCCATATCCCAATCTAATACTGACAGGAATTGCCATAGCAACCTAAGACATTGGTTTGAAGTTCACATGATAAAGTTCTAATGTGCCATCCCATAAATCATGCATTTTGTGACCTATTCATTTGTAGGTAGAGAATTGTTTTATTTATTTATTTATTTTTTTACCTGTGCATGACCAAGTAAAGGTTCTTCCTTCCTAAGATGGAAGGAAAACCAAAGAGCTTTTCAAAACCTTATTAAGATTTAGCAGGATTTACTCAACAGAATAGACTTGTCCAATTGGGAACTGATTTAGCTGCCTTTCAAAGTAATTCAAACAAACGTCTTAGTCTGTGGTCTCACAAATATTTTCTTAAGAGTTTATTTTTTGCTTAGCATGTAACTGGCACTTGTATGACTCTAAGTTTGTTCTCAAAATTATACCAGTGCTTTGATTAGTTTTGAATGCCCCTAAATGATTCTCTACACCAGGGCAAGCATCCACCTATGGTTTATGAACTACAATAAATATACAGGGATTAGGAGCCTTGGGAATCAGAAAGACTTGGCACCTGTCCCATGAAAGTATTGTTCCAATATGACATTCTCTAGAAGACACCCTTACGTTGTTCCTGGAATGTTCTTTCTGAGGCAGGAAGATCCTGATGCTTCCTTCGTTTCAGTTATATTGTCTAGCTGTTTTGTAATTCCCCACTCAAACATTCAGTTCACTCTGGTATAAGACTCCTTCTACATATACACTTTATTCATGGTATCTCTACCCTGCTTCCTAAGAAGACTCAGGCAGGTTCCATGAATTCCAAATCTTTTGCAAAATTCTAGAGAAGATGGTGCTTTCAGAGCTGGCAGTATACATTATTGTCCCAAATACTTGGAACATATCACATACTTAAGAAGAAAAAATTAGTGGTTTTTGTTTTTTTTTTTTTTTTTTTTTTTTTTGCCAAAAATAGGCTTTGCCTTACCAGGACAGAGATACCATTTAGAGGAAGAGAAAAGTTACATGAATGTGGATATGTACTTCTGACTATAGGGTAATATTTCATTGAGATCTTATGCCAGATTTCCATGAGGGTCAACCAGATGACATGCGATACAGCCAGTTTTAGTTGTTGGAAAACAAAGGCTAAACCTCTTAGGGAACTAGGAACTCATACCATACTGGTATTAATTAAAAAGGTGGCATTTCTAGATATCTGTCATATAAACAGTAGGTTTTAAAAATTTAAGTCATTGGTGCAAATTGATACTGATGTATTGGGCTAATGAATGATTAAAATGTTATGACAAAATCAATCTAAGAATTAAAATTCAGCAACATGCTATAGTAGATGGTGATTAGCGGACCCTGCTGATCTGCTGGACTGGATCACTTCCCACAGAGCTGGACATGGGTTCTGATCTCTTTCTGTGGAACATGTTCTCTGGCCTCTTACTGAAACATATGCACTATTTTGAGATGACAACGTATCTCCCAATTGATCGATCACCAGTGACAGTGGTCGTATCAAAGACGATTGGCCATGGAGTGATCAGCTGATTCTGACTCTGGCTAATAATCATCTTTAATGCAACTCTTGTCATGAGTGACCAATCAAGAATTATCACACCAGGTCAACAAGGTACACGTCCTTCCACAAAGGGCCAAAGCGTGTATCCCACAGAAAGGGAACAGAGCTCATGCCCAGCTCCATGGGAGCTGTACTAGTCCATCTGGGACTATTGGGAGATTGGGAGGAAGGATCCGTTGATCACAACTGTTATACTGTGAAATGCAATGAAAATTCTTGTTTGATGTGGAATCTTTCTTCTTAGGAGACCAGGCCTGATTCTTTTTTATAGGCCTAAGAAAAAAGACACTTATACTTCCAGACTGGGAGTCAAGGTAGGGAAAAGGGAAATAATAGAAATGTTACTCAAAGGGGATTTGTTATCCCTGTGACTTCTGAGCCAACTATTCAAAAATTCCCCAAACAAAATGTTGTATCTTTTGCTTCCTCTCCCCCCTAGTTCTCCCATTTCCAGATACATACCCAGTACAGCACATCTGTCCAACCCTCCATTGTAATGCACTGGAACACAGTTAACATGGCGAAGGCGAAATTGTCAAAGTTGGTGATACCGTGTTTGGGTCCATCCCACCCTGCTTTACATATCGTGCCATTCTGGCACTGCCGTCCATGTCCCGTGTCAAGGGCACAAGGAGAAGGGTCATCTTCTACTGGGACATCTCAGGTAGCCAGAGGAAATAAAGGAAAGACAAGGACCAAGAGAAGGAAAGAAAGGGAGAGAGAGAAAGAGAGGGAGAGAAAGAGAGAGACAGAGAGAAAGAGAGAGAGAGAGAGAGAGAGAGAGAGAGAGAGAGAGAGAGAGAAGAGTTAGAAAAAATGTATTTAAGGTTCACGACTGTAGAGACAAATTATGATTAATAATAACATACATGAAATTAGTTTTCGTCTTGGAGACAGGGAGATTCTGTGCACGTGTTAAACAACTTGAGTAACCAAGGTTTATCATATGCCAGCACCAATTCAAGAAAGTAATCATTTTGGATATTTGCCATACAACTTGGAGACTTTAGATTCAACAACTGATTTAATGTACCTGGATGCTCTGCTGTGTTAACACCATGTTATTCTGAGCAATAAAAATACAGCAATAATGATGACATTTATATCACCAGGGTGCATAGTACACTGCCAAGTTCCTTCAGCTAGATAATGATGATGGGAGAAGGATAATGAGTGGTGATATTAGTAGTCTTTTCTTTGAAGAGTTTATTGATATTTTTATCTATATACTCAGTTTTGGATTCAAGGGGTTGGTATTTGGAAGCTTCCTCAACATTTTATTATTCAAACAGCTTATCTAAAGATTTAAATGAAAGTTCATGTGTTTCTTTATATGATTCATGATATCCCAAGTACCTGGTCTAGACGTTTCAAATTTTTCAGGATTAACTTTTTGCTTTCTAAAGCCTATATTCCATACACATGCTTTCTAGGCCGGCTGTTTCTCTTTCCTGAATATGATTTGTAGAAAATGGCAGGAATTTTGTGGTTTGGCAATGCTTTTTCAGTCACCTGTAAAGTGGCATTTTTTTTATCCCAACGGGGACATTAAAGCAGGGAACGATGAAGAGAATAACTTGGTCAATCAGTAGCTCAGCCATGATTCCTGACTTTATATTTTACAAATGCCTTGTAAAGAGTCACTTCCTAAATAGGATACTACCATCCTCTCTTCCCCACAAATTAAAGCTATGATCCTAAAGCAATACCTATAGGAAATCTGTTATCATAAAAAAGGTCCCCTTTCTGGCAATTTATTTCTAAAATATCTTTCCCTCTTAATAAACTCCTGCCAGCTAATCTGTGACTGGAAAGTACTCCATGATGCTTAAGGAAATTTAGGGAGTTCCCCTTGATTTGTTTAAAGAAAGAGAGCGAGAGATTTGCATTGGTATAGGAAACCCAGATTATCCTCTCCATGCTTCCCATATCTGAAGTGCTTTGGACTTTTGTCCTAGAGGTGGGTAAAATCACCATCAGCAATAACAATACTTACGACAACCTCTAAGTGCAACTTCTATACAAACAATATTTGCAGGTGCCTTTGCATATTTGAAGGAGCCATGTAGCAGCCAATGCTAACACTTCTCTATACTACCTATTACTCTGAACTGATGTAAGGGGAAAGCGTAAACAGAGAATCTTAGCAAGACATGTTATTGTTCAGTTGTTTTCAGTCATGTCTGACTCTTCCTGACCTCATTTGGGGTTTTTTTGGCAAAGGTACTAGAGTGATTTGCCATTTCCTTTTCCATCTCATTTTACAGATAAGGAAACTGAGGCAAATAGGCTTAAGCGACTTGCCCAGGGTCATACAGCTACTAAGTGTCTGTGGACAGATTTGAACCCAGGAAGATAAGTCTTCCTGATTCCAGGCCCAGACCTCTATCCATTGCACCACCTCCCTGCCAGCAAGCTATAAGGCAGTGGATAATAACAACAACAACAAAAAAACCAGGGAAATTTTAAAATATATATCAGCATATTTGAAACATATTTGTCATGGCTGAAGGTCAAATTTGCGGTAATATTCATAATTGGGGAATTTTGTTAGGAACTTCATGAATTAGGATCCTGTTTGTACATGCATACTGTATACAACAGTTCCCCCCAGCAAACACCCTTTCGCAATAAACTTATTAGCATACTACAGAATCCCACACTAAGATAATTTGGCCATTTATACAAGGTGCCAAATGAGGATTTTTTTCCTTTTCTGAAGGACTAGGTTTTTTGTTGTTTTGGCTTTGTGTTTTGTCTTTTGTTTTGTCTTTCCTCATGGGATTGGTTAACATTATTGATGTTAACTTTGTGAAACTTGGTATATCAGAGGTTCTTTCATCAAGGCTAATCATTGGTAAGCTTAAGCAGAATGCTATGCTTTTATAAGAGCTGTCAGTTAAGTTAAAAAATTCAATGGTCTCAATGGAAAGTAATATTATGTGATTCACACACATATGAAATTAAGCATATTACTTTTTACTGACAGGTAATAATGGTAATAAAAAAAGCAAAAAAATTTCAAGTAAATTTTCCTAAAAAAATAATGATTACAGTTGACAACAGCAATAACATGATCCTAATTATCGACTTTGTTCAGAAGTCTTCTCAATTTCAGAACAGTTATTTCAACATATTCGTCCTTTCATAAATATCAAGGCAATCCAAATGTCACAGCATTTTTTTGTACCTGATGTAACCACCCCTTTAGGCTGACTGGGCAGCAGCTGATGATGGTCTGATCTGGGCAGGCTATTGTACAGCTGGACAGCTAGGCCACTTGGCTACTGGGCACTGAATTCTTCACTGCAGGTAGTATCTCTGCGACACAGGTTGTTCCCCTAGACTCTCAGTGATGGGCAGTTGGAGTCATCACTGCCAGCCTTTGGTTTGGCTGGGTGTTACACAGCTTTTCTCAGCTGGAGTGTTAGCCAAGTATTACAGTTTAGCAAGGACAATGACCTTTACCTTCTATTCTTTGACCCCTTCAGAGCCTTAGCTCTGAGGTTTGTTACCTCCAGGCAGGAAATGGGAGAGTTCTAGGCTTTCTGGTTCAATAATCCTGAATTCAGAGTTGGCTTCCCTCAAGTTTTTGGACTTCACTTTTACTTATGGTGATTAGTTCAGGTATTCATCTCCAGTTTCTGTAGAGATTTATGCAAATGATTTAAGTGGCTGTGGACAAAAAGGTAAGGAAGATATATGTGCCCTGGGGCAAGTTCATTGTCTCCTGGCCTTTTCATGTATAATTGAACTATAAGGACCTCTAACCCTCTCTAAGGTGTTCTAAGATAACCTTCATGTCTCAATGTCTCTCTTTTTTCTTTCCCTCTACTAGTTTGGCTGAGGTAAAAATGGAGCCTATCACCTCCTTATGCAGAAGTGCTGCTGTTTCTGGGCCTGTAGTTTCAAACTTGAAAATCTTCATTTCACAGAGGAATATAAGAAGAAGAACAATAATCTCCAACCAAGAGAAAAATCTTCAAGAGCCTAAAGTTGGGTGCTCATGCTAGGGAAGATAGTTAATTATGGAAATTCTTGTTAGTTATTTGTCATAGCTGATATTTTATATTGGTCCTTCATGGTTACAATGCACTATCCCATATACAACCTCATCTGATCTTCACAAAAATCTCTTGAGATGGGTAGTGCAAGTATGATTTACCTCATTTTTCATAAGAGGAAACTGAGTCTCAAAGAAAGTAGCCGTTATTGTTCGTCTTTCGTTTTCAAAGAGGACCACTGACATCATGGGTTGATGTCTTGACTTGTGCATGAATTGGAGTTAAGTGAGGCAGATTTTCACAAACATGGTACTTGGTCAGAGAACATAAATGATTTGTTCAAGAAAAATGGCTGGTAAGTGGTAGAACCAGGACTTATGCTTTGTGATTCTAAATCTCTCCATTACAGCAGTGGGAAATCCTGAAATAAGTCTTCTGTACATATTCTAGTACCTTCCTTCAAAAGGTGGAAGAACCAATAAAAGGAAATTCTATTTTGGGTTTGATTTTAATTAATTGTGAGAAATTGGTTGCTGGGGTGGGTGGGAATGATGGGAACCTCAGCAGAAGCATTTATTCCATCTTGGACTTTGTTTTTGAAATTTTTTAATGTTTTATTTTTTCTCAATTACATGTAAAAACATGTTTTTAGACATTCATTTTTTATAGTTTTGAGTTCCAAATTCTATCCCTCTCTCCCTTCCCTTTCCCCTCCCTGAGATGGTAAGCAATCTGATATAGGTTATACATGTGCTATCATGTAAAACATTTCCATATTAGTCATTTTGTGGAAGAAAACTTGAAGAAAAAAAGAAAGGAAGGAAGGAAGGGAAAGAGAAGGAAAGAAAGAAAGAAAAATAGTATACTTCAGTCTTTACTCAGATGCCATCATTTACTTTTCTGGAGTCCTTTGAGATTGTCTTGGATCATTGTATTGCTGAGAATAGCTAAATCATTCACAGTTGTTCGTTATACAATATTGCTGTTACTGTTTACAATGTTCTCCTGGTTCTGCTCAATTCACTCTTTATCAGTTCATATAAGTCTTTCCAGGTTTTTCTGAAATCGTCCTGCTTGCCATTTCTTATAGCATAATAATATTCCATTACAATCACACACCACAACTTGTTCAGCCATTCCCCAGTGGACGGGCATCTCATCCTGGCTTTATGTCAGAAGAAGACAAGCCACTATATCATCTAACATACATCCTACATTTTGAGAAAGTGAAAGTAGAATAATGTGATTTGTCTGATAAGACTGATATGAAGGGACTTGTAGTATAAGAGGGCAAGGGAAGGGAACAAACATTTATTAAGTGCTTACTATGTGCTAGTCACTGTACGGAATTTCCTATTGTGGATGCTAACCAGACATCACCCTTGCTGAGCATTATCAATAATATTTGAAAGATAACAGAAAATTAGAGGAGTACCACAAGACTAACTAAGGGTAACTATTGCCCTGATTTGAGAGAAAGAGAGAGAGAGAGAGACAGAGAGACAGAGAGAGACAGAGAGAGAACAGAGTCTGTAAACTATAAGACCACTGAGCTTGCCTTTAAATTCCTAGAAAAATTCCCAATTGGATCATTAAAAGAAGGTGGACAAACATGTATAAAGGAAGTGGTGATTTAAGAGCCA